CTTAAAATACAAATAAAAACCAATGTATTATCTCAATTGATCTTGATATTTTAGACTGACCGGAGGCCGTATTTCTACACAGTAGTAGATTTTTTAGAGGTTAGTGTTTTTGAACGGGGAAAATCTTGTCTCTTAGGGGGCATAAGATGAAAAACCTGCCACCATTATCTATTCTTACATATTACTTGTTAATTGATTTATACTATGGCGGGAGTTCTCAACCACGCTCATCGGAGTCTGTCTTGACCGGTGCTCTCGGTTGATCTCAACTTGGCTTAGGGATAATATTTTGGCTTTGGGAAACGCATCTCAACGGTGGCTCTACAACCGTGTCTTTGGTCCTTATCCCTCTGGTATGTGGGCGGAGCATGCTTCAAGGTGAGAAAAGTAGAAGTGTCCCTTGATATCAGTGAGACTTGCTTAGGTCCCCTCGCTTCGTGCGCTTTCTGTTGCTCGCTGATCTTCCATCAGTGGCCGTTGCTGTTGATTTCGTTGGCCTTGATTATCTTCATTTGAGTCGAGTGCGTTGACGATATAGTGTAAGAACATCAGCATCTGTGATATCTGATTTATGCGTCCAGGCACGATCCTCATCTGTCCAATGCAGTAGATACCCCTGGGATTTATCACCTCGGCCACCTCGGATGCCTGTGGTCGACTATCGAGGAGAACTGAGCCTCCTCGGTTGGTTGTACGTGAATTGCTCCCGGAGCATTTACCTTTTTTACGAGTCCAATTAGCTCATCACCGACCGAGTTAGAATATTCGAGGGCTTTAGTCCCACCAAGGTTACAAACAAAATACCCTTTGCCCTCCCTACATATTATTTGTATGGTCCGCCATATGGTACTGTCATCTTGTTCATTTCACATTGATAGCGGACTACGACAATGTCCTCTTCCTGGAAGTGTACATACTTTTGGTACTTTCGGTCGTATGTTGCGCTTCTCTTGATATTGCACAGCATTGCTGTCTAGTTGTGGCCTAATGGCTTCTTCTAGATGATGCAGTCGCTCTTCCCAAGATACTGTTGTACTGGGTGTGTTTACTGGTGTATTGCAGTCCATGAATTGACTCTGTCTGCGACAAAAGTATACAATAAATCTCGGTGAATTATTTACCTTGAGGTGCACAGATTGTGGCTCATTTGTACGAAGGGAAGTCGTGAACACCAGTTACCTGGATTTTGTTCCACGAATTTCGTAACAATGGTAGTACGTTTCTATGTGATCGTTCGTTGGCGCATAAGACTTCAGGTTGGTACGAGCGAGAGATGAGGTGTTGTGTCGGCGCCTGTTCAATGACTTTTGCAAGTATTTCATTAACATATTTAGTGCCTTGGTCGGCGCGTTTTATTTGTGGGAAACCTATGTTCGCACATGATAGGTACCAGCGTACGCGCTACAGTAGCCGCTGATTTGTCCATCATTAGCCTGAGTATGACGTATGATGAGTGCACATCTAGCCATACTAACACATATGTGTATCCTCTGTTTGTGTCCAGTTGTGTCCAAATGGTGTCCACTTGGACTCTATCGCCTGGAAATGCGGCTGTGATTGATTGCAAGGGATGAGATTCCTTCTTGTATATCTCATTCTTGAGACATGGTACGCAACCTTCAATGTACTTGTGTACATGTTGTTGGATTTGTGGCCAATCGTGTCCGTATACTTGCAACTTGTTCACCGTTTCCTCTGGGGTATAATGTCCCAAGTTGTGGTATTACTCAATGATGTTGACACAATGATGTTGACACGTGTCTCGTATTCTGTTCCTTGCGGTGCATCTCCAGGGTGAACAGGTTGTGATGCTAAAACGTGTATGTCATATTGTCCCTGCGTTGAGACAAAATATGAAAACTTCACTCCTATCTGTGCTACTAATATGACACCCCATGGGGTCTTGCCACATGCTTTCGTGCCTTCCTTGAGGAACGTATTGTTTGTGTTTTCCACTAGCATCGGATCCTCTTCAAATTAAGACAAGAATTTTGGAATTCAATCAGATCTACTGTAAATTACCCTAACCGTCTTCCAGCTTCTTTGTAGAATCTGGGGCGTACCTGAGGTCCTCAGTAAATGCGTAGCTGTTAACGTGTCGCACCGAGTTGTTCTGAAGAACCTTGTCCAAGTAGACGGGGTTACAAGTCATAGGTCTCGAGAGACGGGTGGGTTCCGAAACTTGAATGTACTGGGGGAAGGCGAGCGTCGTATCTTCCATGTTTCCATGATGTTCTTCCATCATCACCGGGGCCGGGTGTGAGCTCAAGTACTTGGCTAGAAGCCCCTGGTCCTTGACAACATGGCGTAGCTCGTACACAATGTGTGTGAGAGCGAATGGACGCGAGAACCGGACGTCCGACGAACCACCGGTACGAACAAACTCATCAAGTGCACCTTCGTCGCCATGCAAGTGTTTAGACGACCGCGGCATGGCCATGGCCAATTGATGGCGATCGGCAGCGTTTAGAATACCATAGACATTGTCCTGTAGGATTTCAGAGGGTAGCGAATTCATGGTTGGAGTGGCTGGTCTTCAGGTTGTTATTACTGTAGAGATGCTGAGAGTGTGATGTTGAGATGGATCGAGACTACGGTTTTATACTAGTCGCGTCGGCAAAATGAGGCACCGATTATGGGTGGTTGACCGGTGAGGGGCGATCGGTGAACCACCCGGTTACAGTCAAGCCCTAAACTGGCTAGGAAAAACCCCACATCCCTTAAACAGGTACTAATGACTCATGTGTATAACAAGTGGTTTGAGTTTAGGGCTTTTATCAAGACGAGGGTTTATGTTTTAGGGTAAAGGGGTTTTTATTAAGACGAAGAGGTTTTAGAGTTTGGAGTTTAGGGTTTAGGATTAGGGTTTAGGTGTTGCGAAACGAAAGTTAAACAACCGGAGGGGTCCTGTGATGCCGACAGGTATAGGGGGCTTTGATGATTCTCTGCTTGCACGACTTGCCGTCTTTCTTTGTAACACCACACCTCATCTTGCGATAGTTTCTTTTAGCGGTTACCTCGGCCTTGGGTGGAACTGGGTCCATAGGTCCAGAGTGAAAGACGTGGCTGAATTTCCAGCTATCGATAATCTGAGCTATGTGATCGTCGTTCTTCAATTCCCGATGTATTAGCAATACAAAAACGCTGTTCCACACAATAACATTGGTCGTTCTGTCGTAGCACACCCTCAAGAGTTTCATTGTATTCTCAAACGTTTTCTCGGTGTCGGGCACAACGCCTGTCGCCTGGAGGTCCCTGGTAATGTTGAGGAGGTTAATGACATTACGATTCAACCAACCTTCCACACACATATCAACGTGTTTGGTAAAGTGACCCTGGTAGTCCAGTAGGTCCGCCGTGATGGAGTCCTTAAACGACTTGACCATTTTTTAAATCAGTAGGCGCAAAAGCGGAGAGTGGGTTTTGCACAATTTGGGTTTGGGGTGTGAGTGTGACTTATAATGAACACTTACTCGCTATATATATACCAACTACTTTTGTTTGGGGGTTTAGGAGTTTGGGGTGAAAGTATACCCGACCCCGGGGGGGTTCACCGATCGGACCTCACCGGTCAACAATACTTTACGATAGTCGCGTCTGGGTATATATAGATAAGACGCAGCCGTCGACGAGCAGTCACAATTATATTTTTGTTGCCCGCCCCCTGATAATCATGACATCCAACAATGGTAGTGGCAGCGACCACGGCGGGTTTGGGAATGGGTTCACGTCGTACATTGATCTCACGGGCTCCGAACCTATAACGAGGGTGGTACGTCACGAACAAGGAACGACGTCTGACGAACCCGACATGCCCACGGCAGTGACGCAAATGTGTCTACTGGGCCCCATACACACGATACACCAGGCCAATGATCTCAAACCACCACCTCGAACCGAACCTCAAAAACTTAGCACTACCACGACCGCTACTGGTAATACGGGTGGGTCAGCAATACCTGTACAGGTTACTGAGGATGACCACCGGGTGAGCCTTAGTATGGAATTGATACGCGAACACATGTTTACCTGTGGCGTGTGCACCAAGGGCGTGTTATGCAGTGGATTAGAGCTGATAGGTTGCTTGCAACGCGGAATACACTGCTCTATATGGGTTAGAAAACCCCTAAAGCACCCAGAGAGCTTGCTAAAACAACCCTATCCTTCCGTTAACCAAAACTTGAATAAAGAACCCTAACCCCTAAAACTATCGTATGTGTGTTGTGTGGATCGTGTGCCACGTGGCAAAGTTTCCACACACGTGAACGAACGAGGATATATGTGCATGATGGAAAACGAGGTGTAAAGTTTAAGATGTGTGTATGTGTGGGTTAGAAACAAAAGTTTAAAGTGCGTGTGTATGTAGTATCAAAGGTCTAAAAGTAAAGTTCATGGTGCGTGTGTATATGTATTATCAAAGGTCTAAAAGTAAAGTTAAAGGTGTGTGTGTATGTTATACCAAAGGCCTAAAAGTAGGTTCAAGGGGTGTGTGTATGTTATACCAAAGGCCTAAAAGTAAGTTCAAGGTGAGTGTGTATGTTATACCAAAGGCCTAAAAGTAAGTTCAAGGTGTGTGTGTATGTTATACCAAAGGCCTAAAAGTAAGTTCAAGGTGAGTGTGTATGTTATACCAAAGGCCTAAAAGTAAAGTTTAAAGTGTGTCTCGGAAGTCAATGTGTAAAGATTTATTTTGTTTAACTTAGACTACTGAAAGATAAGAATCTATTGATTTGCCCTTTGTCGCCTATCCACCCCGTAACGTCAATATCGCGTTCAACATCCTATTAGGTACTGCATACCTGGCACAAAGCTGTAGTTCCCGTGATTGAAACTTCGGCCAACAGTTTATTCTTGAGTGATCGACACGTGCGGTTTCGATGCACCTTTCCCTTTGAACCCGCAATCTGGTAGCCCGTGCCAGACTGGGTAATTGACGATAGCGGCAGCAACGTGGTGGGAGTAGTGGGAATAGTTGCTGTAGTAGGGTGTCGTGAACCTGGAACTTGGGTTGGTACGTCCGGCAGCTCGGCTAACATGGCTTCAATGTCAGCGTACCCAACCGACACTCCCACAACCTCTTCGGTGTAGCACTTCTTACACCAGTCGGTTGTTCCGGTCCCCACCATTTCCTCCACAACCTTATTCTTGAGGGAACCACAAGTATCCTTTACGTGCACTTTACCCTTAGCTGCACCGACAATTCTGTAACCCAAGCGGGACTGCACAGACGGAATTGCGGCGGTCGTGGGTTCACGTATAAGAGTCTGGTTAACAACCGAGGCTCGAGTAACAGGGACTTGGGTTGGGGTGTCCGGCAGCTCAGCTACCATGGTTTCCAAATCAGAATACTCCACCGAAACATCGACTACCTCTGGTTCATAGTAGCACTTCTTACATAAGTCGGTTGTTTCGGTTACACTCATTTCCTCCACATCCTTATTCTTAAGAGAGCCACACGATTGCTTAAGGTGCACCTTACCTTTGGCAGCACCGACAATTCGGTACCCGGTGCGGGACTGGAAAATCGGCGCAACAGCGACATGGGTGGGTTCAGCGGGTGACGTAGTAGCGTTAGAATGGCTACTGGTCCCGGATCGTGCAATGGCTGCAGCCGCAACGTCAGACACGGGGGTCCCCAGTGTAGTTGGAGTTGCCGTAGCTGCAGGACTGGGCGAAGGAAGGTTGTTGTGGTAGTCGCTAGGATTCACCATCTGATACCTGGGCACGTGATTTGCAATCGCGGCTGGTGCTGTTGGTACAGCTGTTGGTAACACAGATGTCTTCACCCCCACAAGCGTAATGCAATGACAGGGTTGGTAGTTGCGGTCTAGAACCGTGTTAAAGAGCATTGGCTTTCTGATTTCAGTAACCCGCTCCAGGATACAGTTGGCATCAAAGTGGAATAGGATTACCGGCCGAGCCACCGTAGGATTGCGTTCAGAGACAAAGCACACGTTATCATTGTACCCGTGGACATGGTGGCCCGCCATCTTAGCCGTTAGGATGGGATCCGCGTTGAAGACGTGGCTACCAGCGTGCTTGGGTGTAGCGAGAAACATGGTTATTGTTACAGTTGTTGGTGTGGATTAGATCTAGTTGTTGTTAGTGTTTGCTAGTGAGCTTGTGACCTACAAAACAAAAAAGGCCAGACTATTTATACACCCCGCTGGACTCGGTATTTTGGGTTAACAGACCGTTTGGATGGGGGTTCACGATTCGGAGCTGCGTGGTCAACCACCCCAGCCACGCTAATAAAACCCCGGGACCAAGAGCTTAGCCGAGGGTTTGTATGGTTTATTAAAGTTTAGTGTTTTTTTAGGGGTTAGATTTCTATGGTTTATTAGAGTTTAGTGTTTTTTTTAGGGTTTAGGTTTCTATGGTTTATTAAAGTTTAAAGTTTAGATCTACCCAAGAGTTTCTAGGGTTTATTAAAGTTTAAAGTTTAAGGGGTCGGGTTTTAGGGGTTAGTAATAGGTTTTTTTGATTTAGGGGTTCAACGACAAAACCGACACAGGTCAGTTTCCGGATCAACGGAAACTTGAACTATGGACTTGTTCGTAAGATATCGACACGAAGATTTCGTGTGCACCTTTGTTCTACGATTACCTATGTTAGCAATCTGATAGCCCACTCCAACCTGATTTTGCACAGCCGGCGCCGTGTGGTGGTGACTAACATCGGCCCTGGGTCTGCAATTACGGACCCCACTTCTATCTAGCAATGTTTGGGATGCAGTCCTATATTGGCTAATACATAGTAGACACAAGTCAGTCGTTCTCGAAACGGGCACCTTATCCACGGATTTGTTCGTTAGTACACTACACGTGTTTCTAAGGTGTACCTTGGTCCGAGTTGTACCCGCTATCTGGTAACCACGGTGTACGTTAACCCCGGTTGTATCTGCAATCCTACCGTGGCGACTAATATGAACCTGTTGGGTACTTGGGACTTGGTCGTTAACATATGGGGCTTGGTTGGAACGGGTGGCAGCAACAGTAGTCGTCTCGCTACTCGACACCGCAATTCGGGTCGCCACGTCAGGTGTATACGAGATGGTGCAATTAACGTTGTCGTCGTTATATAGTGCCTTGTTTACACTGTCTCTAGGAACCACTGTAGCATACTGCGCAACGATGGGGTTGGTGGGTGGTTGTACCGACTCACCGCTACCCGGCGAGTACTGAATCTTCAAAATAGCTGGACGCTTACGCTCAGGTGTGTGAACCAATTGCAAACAACCGGTTGGGTCTGCCTGCGTACTGCACCTATGCGATATCCCGGTGACGGGATTGAGGGTTGTATCACACCCCTCGCACGCATACTCAAACAACTGTAGCATGTGCTTGGCAATCGGATTCGGTGCCAACTTAACCCGGCGCGCCCGGCAATTGGGGCATTGATTGCGTACAAGTTGTTCAACACAGTCCTCACATAACGTAAATGAACAGCACGTCGTCGTCGTTACGGTCTCTGATACTTGTACACATACACCACACGTAAATATCCGGTCACAGAGCTCGCTACCATTCACCAAGTAGTCAATTCCCGTGCGTGGGATTCCAGTACCAGCAATCATTCTAGCTGCCATCTATTCATACTCGCTTGAGGGGCGTGGGTGTTAAACTAAACAGAATTCCCCCAAACGTTCTGTATATATAGGCCTCCCGATGGCGAAACATAACAGCGGTCGACGGTTCAACCATGATTGGTGGGCCACCCCCTCGACCATCACCCATTTTAGTATAAATATCGACCGCAGTCGGTCATTATACTTCATACGTTCAATTGTATTACATGAAAAGTATACAAGTAAGTGTTAGGATTTAGAGTAAAATCATAATAAGATGTATACACCACCTGCCGCCACCGTGACCTATAATAAGGACCTGGATCTAAGCCCAGCCACTCTGGCTGCGGCGGTCGCCCAGATTAAGGATAGCGGTCGAAGCTCGCCTTTACCCCTGTCTGTGGAAGTTGTCCGTACGCCTCCCCCCTGCACGCCTATCCGGACCTCTGATGTCCCGAACCCAGGTGGCCATGTTGTTTGCAAACCATCCGAACATTATGAATGTGCGTGGTGGCGTTATATACAACGAGCCCCTGAGCCTTACCATTTTGAGATTCCAGAACCACGGTTGGGAACTTAACGACGCCATTAACGACGGTATGACACTTGTTCAGAAGATGCAGGTTGTAGACCAGATCGCGTATGCTTTACGACACATGCACTCCAACGGCTATGTCCATCGCGACATTAAGATGGACAATATATGTGTACGCTCAGCAGTGTCGTTGTCCGCAGCCCCCACTACCACTGATACTACCCGATCGGATTATGGCAGTCAATCCAATAAAGGGGACGTTGTGGCCATACTCATCGATCTTGACAAAAGAAAAAAGTTTTTTTGCGCGTACCCCCTCGCGCAGCAAGTGTACAATACCAAGGTTCATTTGTAGTGTCGTATTCAATAAAATTTGATACATTGAGAAACCAGACATCAAGGTATACGAGACTTACAAACAATTTGTTCTGTTATGTTAATCTGAGTGTTCTTCCCCGTCTCTAGTATCTGTATTACCTTAGCCTTGGCGGTTTCCTCGACCTCTCGTTGTAGTAAAAGTCCCCTTAAACCACTATCAGTGTGGAGTTAGAATTAGTTTACAATTAATTCACACGAGGTGAATTATTTGTAGACCAAGTAGACAATCAAATATAAGAATAAATACA